ATCTGACCTTTTAACCAAAAATGGTAATAATACTGATTTTAAAATATGATATGCCCTCAGTGTTCATCATACTATACTTGTCACTGTCCCTTAGAAAAAAAAAGTGACATAAATGAATGACTTGAACATTTAATGGCTTTTAAGGTTCTTTCTAGCTTCAATTGAATGAACATATTACCTACAAATAGTGGCCACAGCAAACATAGAGAGCTGAGACAGAAAGGCACAAACATTTAAAAGGAGAAACTGGAATAAAATGATTAGGTATGTTGGACACTAGAGAAACGCAAGCATTTGCTATCAAAGTTGAAATAGTCAAACATTAAGAACATGATTAGTGGAGAAATGGTTGTGGGGAGGGAGCCATCCTTCCTCATCATCATCAACAACAAATGTTGACCAACTAACACCAGCAGTCATTCTAGATAGGCACAGTGGCCTTGGGAGTGGCCATGCCCTGCTTGACTATGGTGTACAAGGTCTGCTTCTAGCCCAGTCCTCACAGCTATTGTCTGGGAAAGCAAGTCTTGTGGAGAAGGGGCCAGACATCTACACACAGCAGGCCCAGGAGCCTTGGGAAGAATAACACTTCCCAGTCTGGTGCCCTCACTCATTCAGGGACAGATCCCCTGTGGAGATGCGCCTGGCAGGAGCTCCTGCAGGGCCTACAGCGTCACCTAAGGAGGACCCAGAAAAGCAAGTTCTTGCCCCCTAAGTCTTTGGTACTAACCCTCACCCTAATTCCAATGGTTCAACATCAGAAAGTGATTAAGATTTTACTGGAAGAGGTATCACCATCAGCTTTGCTATTTCACCCTAAGCACCATGGGTGCTCCATTCAACTTGCAGCTCAAATGTCTCATAGGTGTTGTCTTTCCCATTAGAGCATGAGCTTTGTGGGGTGCAGTCTTACTTGACTAATAGGATTTCCAGTGCTTGGTTACATAGTAAGCCAACTTAATCAATACTTTGAAGATCCTATTCATTCCTGAAGTTACGATTTAAAGGGAAAGGATATCAAAGAACTGTGAAAACCATTGGCCTTGATTACTATATATTCAGAGAGTCGAAAAGTTAGCATGGTAGAGCTGAGTCAGGAAGTCCCTAGTTAAAACCCACCTCTGAAGCTCATCTGGCCCTATTTAATAACCCTCAGTGCCTCCTGCAAACTCCCTAAGCCAGCTGATCTACTTTAGTGAAGGGATTTTCCATACCGAGAGTTCTCTATACCAGTGAAATTGCACGTCCCTTTCTAAACGACAGTGGAGAAAAGTACATGGAAATGGGAGATTTCATTTTTTTATTTCAACATCCAAGGATACCAATTGACCAGGCAGAAAGAGCTTTGAGAACCAAAGACATGTAACACATAAAAACATTAACAAATACCATGAAGAATATAAAACAGCAGCAAACCACGTACCTTTTTCTTCAAAGTTTGGTCACTTAGATTATAGGGAAAATTAAAAAAAAAAACAAGGTTGAATGACTAAGACAGAGGTACAAATGGGGGGTGGTACGCTAATATGCCCTTAAATGAAGGCATCTATAGTTCTAAATATTCATTATGGAAACAAATAGGAGATTTGAGGTGTTTTATTTTTTGATAAAATTTAATCATTTTGTTCTGAATAGCAAAATTTACTCCATGTCTTCAATGGACGATTTGTAAGAATGAAGATCAGAAAGGCTCTTCAAAGATCACTGTGGTGTGATGATGATAGTGATGGTGATGATGATGATGATGATAAGTAGAAGAAGAAATGTATATATAGTGCTTCTCACATCCTTGCTGGGCCATGCATTTTTATCTCATTGGATTGTCATAACCTTGAGAGGTAGGTGCTATTATCATCTCCATTTTACATATGAGGAAACTGAGGTAAACAGGGTCTGTTTACCTCCTAGATTTATTTTCCAGGTCACTTGTTTTTCCAATGAGGTATTTCACATTGTCTTCTATTTTTTCATTCTTTTGGTTCTGTTTTACAATGTCTTGATTTCTCATAAAGTCACTAACTTCCAAAGACTCCATTCTAATTTTTAAGGAAGTATTTTCTTCAGTGAGCTTTTGGACTTCCTTTTCCATTTGGTCTATTCTGCTTTTGAAGGCATTCTTCTCCTCATTGGATTTTTGACCCTCTTTTGCCATTTGGGTTAGACTATTTTTTAAGGTGTTATTTTCTTTGGTGTTTTTTGGGTCTTTTTTGTTTTTTTTAGAAAGCTGTTGACTTGTTTTTCATGATTTTCTTTCATCACTCTCATTTCTCTTACCAGTTTTTTCTCTACTTCTATTACTTGCTTCTCAAAATCCCTTTTGAGCTCTTCCATGGCCTGGGACTGATCCATATTTTTCTTGGAGGCTTTGGATGTAGGAGCTCTGACTTTGTTCTCTTCTTCTGGTTGTATGTTTTGATCTTCTTTCACACCAAAGAAAGATTCTATGGTCTGACTATTTTTTCACACTTTACTCATGATCCCAGCCAATTACTTGAGTTTTAAACTCTTTGTTAAGGTAGGAGTCTGCTTCCAGTGTGGAGAATGTACTGTCCCAAGCTTTGGGAGTTTTGTGCAGCTGTTTTCAGAAATACTTCTAAGAACCTGTCAATTTTCAGTTCTTCCAAGGTGGTACAATCAAGGGTGAGGTGTTTACTCTTTTCCTGGCCTGTGCTCTGATCTATGAGTGACCACAAGCACTCTTTTCTGCCTTGGAACTGTGAGGAGGATTGCCACTCCACCACCACTACAAGCTCCACCACGCCAATGCTCCTCCTTGCCTGAGGACTGCCACCCAGAGCTGTGACCTAGATCCAAGCAAGGGCAAAGCAAGAGAATTCTGCCTCAGCACAAGCATAGAGATCCCTGCAATCCCCCTTGGATCAGCCACTGGATTTCCCCTCAGTCTGTGGTCTGAGCTCCAGAAGCAGCCGCTGTCCTGGGGCTGCTCCAGGACTGGGGCTGAGACCAAACTTCTCTCTCACCTTGGTCACAGACTTTTCCTACTGACCTTCTAAGTTGTCTTTGTAATATGTGGGTTGAGAAGTCTGTAAACCACCACAGTTGCATGTGATTCAGTCCCTTGAGGCCTGATCCAGGTTCGCTGAAGTTTGTTTTGCCTGCACACCCACACTGAACTCTGTTCTTCTCCCAGCCCAGTGCAATAGACCTTTCCAATCAATCATCCAGGTTGTGTTGGGCTGGAAATTTGTTTCACTCTGTCTTTTTGTAGGTTCTGTTGCTCTAGAATTTGTTTAGAGCCATTTTTTACAGGTATTTGGAGGGGTTTGGGGGAGATCTCAAGCAAGTCACTGCTTTTACTCCACCATCTTTGCTCCACCCCCCCATCCCCTCTTGCTCATACAATCATGTTGGTCTTCCTGCCTTGAGTCTTTCCCCACTCTAATTCATTCTCCACATAGCTGGAAAAGTGATTTCCTAAAGCACAGATAAGACTATGTCACTCCCTTACTCAAACTCCAATGGCTCCCTACTGGCTCCAGGACCACTGAGTCATCTTTGTCCCATTTAAAAATTTCTCTTTTGGGGGACAGCTAGGTGGAGTAGTGGATAGAGTACTGGCCCTGGAGTCAGGAGAACCTCAGTTAAAATCTGACCTCAGACATTTAACACTCACTAGCTGTGTGACCTTGGGCAAGTCACTTAACCCCATTGCTTAGCCAAAAAAAAAAAATTCTCGTATGGAATAAGTTTAAGATGTACATACTTGTTAATAAAGTAGCACATTGCATAATTCATAAATAAGTAGTATGTACACATGGAGGACTGTGCTGAAGGATTTTTTGCTGATATAGATTCTCTATCAAAAAAACTTTGGAGAGCAGTGAAGCAGTAGATAGAATACTGGAATAAGAATCAGAAGACCAGGTTTCAAGTCCCATGACTGTCACTAACTGTGATTTGGGGGCAAGTCATCAACTATCTAGGCCTTGGTTTCTTCTTTGGTAAAATGAAGAGCTTGCATGAGCTCTAGAGTCCTTTCCAGTTAATATATGAATCTAAAACCTGGTAATGTCTTCTTAGCAACTGTCTCTTTAAGAATACACCTCCTCCTACTCTCAGAATTACAAATAACCCTCATTATACACTAGGAGTTTAAATGTCCAATTAATTTCTGATTTCTGCAGTGAATAATTTACTTATGTTGCTTTTTTTCCTGCTTGTTTCTAGTTTTAAGGATTATTTGTGAATTGATGATTGAAGATAGTAATGGAAAACCAAATTTGAAAAGGACTTTAAAAGGACTTTTCAGAAAAATGAAGCTTAATAGGCATCATTATGAATTTTCATAATATCTTTAGGTATTTTTTCCTTCAGATTATACTTTTTTTGAGAATCAAAGAACCTGACTTGGAAATAATCTTGAGGTCCATAAAGTCCAAATTATACCTTCAACAAGAATTCCCTGTTCAATACAGATAGGGCACAAGAATAGAAGAACTAGATTTGAATTTCCACCTTTAATATTAGCTTTGTGACTCTGATGTTTACCTCCCTGGGTCTCAGTTTCCTTATTTGGAAATTAAGAGGAGTGGACATGGTGAGCCCTAAAGTCCTTACCTTTGTAAATCTGTGAACCAATGATTCAGGACAAGATATTCAGCCTCCACTTGAAGACGTCCAATGATGTCTTCCAATACCTCCCATAGCAGCACATTCTATGTGTGGACATTTCAAATTGTTAGGAGGTTTTTTCCCCATGTTAAAATAGCCTCTCCCTTTCTGAAACATTTATATGTCTAATTCCTCTTCCAAGT